CCCCCCCCCACCCCCCTCATTTTCCAAATTCATTGTAGGTTAAGATGAAGTTTTACAAAGCCATAGTGATCGCGATAGATAATGATACGTAGATAGATAGATTGTCCTTTTTAATGAGCGTTGGATGACTTGTTGGTAAATAGATCTTTGTTAGATATTTCATTTAATTGTGTTGTTATTATCTTTATTTTTTATCATTTACAATCGTTAATTATGTTATTTTTATTTTTTTATCATCATTATCATTATTTTTTTATGTTTTAGGTATTTTGTTATCATTATTGGTTTCATTGGTGTTAATAATGTCATTTTTATTATTATTATTATTATTATTATTATTATTATTATTATTATTATTATTGTTATCATTATTATTATTATTATTATTATTATTATTATCATTATCAAAATCATTATTATTAGTAGTAGTGAAAGTAGTACTTTTAGTATTATTGCTGTCATTATCATTATCATTATTATTATCATTATTATTATTGTTATTATCTTCTTTTTTTTACCATTATTATAGTGTAGTCATTATTTCATTGCCATCATTATTATCATCATTATTATCGTTATTATTATTATAATTGTTGTTATTATTATCATCATTATCATTTTAATTATTATTATTATCATAATTATTATCATTATCATTATGATTGTTATGGTTTTATTGCTATTATTATTATTGCCATTATTATTACTATTATTATTATTATTATTATTATTATTGTAGTATTGTGTTTGTTGCTAGTGCTGTTGTTATTATTATTGTTATTTTGTATTATTTCTATTTTTATTGATACTGATATTGATATTATTATTACTATTGTTTTTATTATTATTATTATTATTATTATTATTATTATTATTATTATTATTATTATTATTATTGTTATTATTGTTTTCAATACTATTATTGTTGTTATTGTTATTTGTATTGTTGTTAATTTTATGATTATTATCTTTATTATTATTTTTACTATTATTGCAAGAACCACCGTCATTGTTTTATTGTTATTTATTTTATTAATACTTTTTTTCTTCACGATCGTCATCATCAATTATTATCATTTCGCTATAGCCATTTACAAATATTTTAATTCCATTGATATGATAAGTGAAAAGAAAAAAATAATAATTATCGCATTTTCTTAATTGGCCGTAATCAGTTTTTAGAAAAGTATTTAATTCATCTTTGCATCATTTAATTCCTAATCCGAAGTCAGTTAAGTCTTAGGTACGTAATCCATCTTGGTTCACTTCCCTGTTGCCGCTTTAGAAGTTTTGTTAATTAAATTCCTTTTATGTCTTGTTTCGTGCAATACATATGTCTCCTGGCTCGGTTAGTTAATCGTTTTCTATTGATACTCAGCGAAGGGGAGACTGAAGAAGACCCAAAAAAAAAAAGTGGATTCGATTTACATGCAAATCGTGATCATTATGGGTCTGGGGGGATACGAGCCCCGGTTCTATTAACTTTCTGATTTAGCTAAACTGTGTGGTAGGGATTCCTTAATGTATATTGGTGTTATTGTTGAATGCGAGTAGTTCTAAATCAATGGTTCTTAACCTTGTGGGTGGGGGCGGGGTTATCTGGGAGTCAGGAAGGGTTGGGGTCCAGTAATTATTTAAGCTCGTATTTGAGATAGCCAGTTGGGGTTTTGCCAGCTTGGGGAGTGGTTGACACTGGTCTGTTGCGCGGCAGGTTGCGTTCGAGTTTCGTTCAACGAGTGTTTTTTTTTTTTTTTTTTTTCGTTATATATTTTTTTTCCTTTTTTGTGGGGTTCCGTGGGTATTTTAATTTTTCTTGGAGGTTTCACGAAAACGTTTTGTTTTTATCTTGCTTTTCTTCGCTGAGTTTATTATAGGTGCTACGGCAATAGCCCTAAAAAGTCTCAGGATATTCCAAGACGTTAAAAAAAAAAGTTAAAGAAAAGGTTAAGAACCAGTGCTCTAGATGCTACTCGTCTGCCAAAAACACGAGGCTGAAATACTGTGTGACTCGAGACTGAAACAGTGAGTTCATTTCAGTTCGAAAAGACGTGATAATCAGAACCAGAGTTGTGTAAATGACAGTATTACTGCCTGGTGTATTTTGGTAACGAAGGACAAGAGAAATTACCATAGAATTTTCAGGCAGAAGGACGAGTGGAGCAAAAATTCCCGCCCCAGGTCCTGTACAGTAACCTGGGAGATTCATCATTAAATGCACTTTCTAATATATGTGGCTTTACTTTATGATATCTTGACCTGCATGAGTCTTTTTCTTCCATTACCATCACACAGATGAAAAGACATACTTGATTGATATCATTGTCTTTTTTTTTTTTTCCTTCGTGAGTGTGTGTACGAAAAGTAGCCATGATCATTTTCAATTTTCGTTCGATTCATTGCAGTTGGTTTAGGCTCTGTCATTCTTTTTTATGGACTCAGTTTTCACGATCCTTTCTATAATTCTCTCATTTTGATAAGTTTTCGTGGATTCGTAAAGTGCAACAACACTCGATACCTGTTTTAAGCGCTTAGTGAGAGATGGTACACGAGACGACGCCACGGAGGCAGTGCTTCACCGGGCCCACACTTTCCCCTCGGTCGACCGGGGTCTTCGCACCTCGTCGACGGGAACGGAGCTGTCGGTCGGCTTTCTGGAGCATAAGAGGGGAAAAGGGGGGAAAAAAGAGAAGAGAGAGATGAAGAAGAAGAATGTTTCAAGGGTGGGGAAGATGTAGTAAAGAGAGGGGTTGAGGAGGAGGAGGAGGAGGGAGAGGGGGGAGTGTGTCACAGGGTCGAGCACTGCCTCCGCCGTCGCCATGACAGTCCGTGACAGCAGAGCGGAGCAGGAGCGGTCGCAGCGTCTCACGAGGCTTCTTTGTTCACAGCCGCGCTGGTGGTATGAGGGGGAGCCAGGACAAGTAAGTTGTCACCCCGCCACACCGTCCACTGCGCATGCGCCCACACCTACGTTTTATTATGTACTTTATTCATTTGTTATGATTTTTTAAAACCTTTTTTTGGATTCCTTTGTTCTGTTTGTTTTTTTTTATATTCCGTTTTTTGGTATATGCTTTCGCTTCCCGTTTTCTTCGTTGGAGTCTCGAAAAATCTGTCGCTAACATTGTGTTCTTGTCTGTGTTTTGCATGCTGCATGTTTTCAGGATATACCTCCTTCCCAGATGTTGGAGTACTGCAGGATTATGCCGTTTGTGTAGGCTTAAGTTTGTTTTTCCGTGCTGGTCGCTGGTCCCTCACGTCCACGTCCTTGGTTGACAACGCGCAGCTGACGAGCTACTCGAAGCCTATGGGGTGGAGATTGAGGAAACCGACCGCAATGCCTACCTGCCCCTCCCTGCCCCGCGCGGCCGGGAGCGCTGCCCCCCGGCCCCTGAGTCCCCCCAGCAGCCCCTCCGCACGTTGCTCATGAGGAGGAGGAGGACGAGGAGGCGGAGGCGGAGCCCGAGGCCGAGCCGGAGCCCGAGGCCGAGCCCACCGATCATGCTGGTTCCCAGACTGACTCTGACTCTGGTTCTGATCCACAGGGAGGCTCTAACAACGGGGTTGTTGGCGGTTCTAACTAAAGGGTGGCGCCCCTCCCTCCTGGCCCTCCCCTTACTTCCTCTCGCTCCTTATGCCTCTGCTCCTTCTCTCCGCCGGCGCCGCAGCAGGAGTGGGTCCGCTCCTTTAACCAGGCGACGCCCCTCCCCCTCAAGCATCTCTCTCAGGCCATCTGCTGACATGCGCACTCCCATGATTCTCTTGCTCTCTCTCTCTCTCTTGCTCCTCTCTCTTTCTTTCTCTCTCTCTCTCTCTCTCTCTTCGCTCTCGCTTCTCGCTCTCCTCTCGCTCTCTCTCTCTCTCTCTCTCGCTCTCTCTCTCTCTCTCTCTCTCTCCTCTCTCTCTCTCTCTCTCTCTCTCTCTCGCTCTCTCTCTCTCTCTCTCTCTCTCTCTCTCTCTCTCTCTCTCTCTCTCTATCTATCTATCTATCTATCTATCTATTTATCTATCTTATTCTCACCTTCTCTCCATCTATTTATCTCTCATTCTCTCTCCTTCTCCATTCGTTCATTCAAACAACCACGCGAACATTCGAAAAAAAAAAGTCCTCATTCTTTCTTCATTAACGCGTCAAACGTACATAGTCTGTTTAGGTGAATAAATAAACGAGAAAAACAAAACAAAACAAACAAACAACAACCGTACTGTAAATATCACTCCATAAGTTATCTTTTATATGGGTTTCAAGAGCTTTTTGTGTGTTGCTGTGACTGGGCGTCGGGGATTCGAACCGATTCCCGCGAGACCCTTTGTGTTTAGGTGTCGCTCCCCCCCCCCCCTCGCCGGGAGAATCAGCTGAGCAGGAAGGACGCTTTAGCAGACAGCAAATCATAAGGCATATGCGTTCCATTGGAAGATATATATATATATATATATATATATATATATATATATATATATATATATATATATATATATGTGTGTATATATATATATATGTGTTTAAATATATAGTATGTATGTATGTATATATATATATATATAATATATATATATATATATATATTATATATATATATAGTATATATATATATGCGTACATGTACTTATAAAAACGCAACAAGATATGTGATAGTTTATAATTGCTCATGCATAAGAATCATTCGACATTCATTTTACAAAGTGGAAGTGAAGTGGAGTGAAAGAGAAGACGAAGTAAAAAAGAAAAAAAATACATTGTATAAGATAGTCGTAGAATTTCCACTTAAGTCGCCACCGCTGTGTCCATTTCGCTCAGACTTTTTTTAAACTTTGAGACGACGGTTAGGAAAAGTTTGAATTTTGTAACGGTTTTTTTTTTTCTTTTCTTCTTTGTCGTCTAGGTCTCTCGGTATGTACACGCCTCTGTCTGTTTATTCGAAATGCATTTGTATACATGTGAAGCATTGATGTTTAAAAAAAAAAACACTATGTCTGGACGTTAATAAGCGATTTAGCAATTC